CAAGAGACTTTAGGGTAGTATGCTCGCATATTCTATTGTTATGATCCTTATTACTATTTTCTATCAATATTATGTGTTTTGTTATTAAAGTTGATAGTATAACTAAACTCGCTTAGGTCGATTAGATAAAACTCTAGTTCCTTACACCTGCAATAGAGAGAGAAAGAAGCGAGAGAAGGGGGTTAGAAGGAAAAAACATGTAATAGGTAAAAAGAGTGATGAAAAAGCAGAGTGAAAAAAAAAAGTGATGAAAAAGGAGGAGAGGAAGAGGGAAGAGAGGATAAGGGGGGAGAACGAATATGTTTTGCTGAATCAGTGGCCTGTGGCAACAAAATCGCTCATCATTAACAATACTCACAACCTGTCAGGTATCATATGTCGTGATGCTGGCTTATGGACCACCCTCACTCATCCTCTCGAAATGATCGGTGCCTGATCGCCCGCGGCAAGCCTCGCACTACTTCCATCGATGGGATGAGTAAAAGCGGGTGAAGTTGCGGCTAGAACAATGAAATATAAGTCGGACAATTGTTACTTGATTGTGTGTGCATGTTTGTGTGTGTGTAAGCATGCTTGAGAGAGAGAAAGAGATCAGGTAAGTCCCTTACCTCGCGACTTGCTTCGTGGTGGTCGAACAAAAAAAAATGAATCTAACATTAAAGTAAGGAAACATACACTACTACATTTATGTGTGTGTATGTGAATAAATCGTGCGGCAACCTTGTGGTACTTCCAATTGACTAGGATGAACGAACAAAGTCGAACGAATATAACGCTACATCAAGAAAGTATACACTACTACTGTATGTGTGTGTGTATGTTGGTGCGAGTGAGAGAGAGAGAGAGAAAGGCTTACCTCATCGTGGTTGACCCTCGTCACTACAGTCTAACAACCATCTTCTCCCCCCGAGCGCAACACACCCTCGAGTTGATTGTATCTGACCGGGACGATAGCTTGTGTTTTTTCGGTGGGATCATGCTGCCAAAGTTGGCGGCGGCAGCAACATTTTCATTGAGGTTATGCTGTCTGGTAGGCGGTACGTCGGTGACACTATTGTGAGGAAAAATGCTGCAGTTTTTTTGCGTCGCAGTGGAGGCAGTTTTTTGTGTGTGATCTAGCGATGGTGTTGCGGGGCAGCCATGGTACCGGTTTTGATGGTGCAGCAAGCAGTGGTCCGTGTTATTTTTGTGGTGTGCAGCGGTCATGGTGGATTTCAGTGTGGCCTATAGGTTGGGCAAGCGCTGGTGCATGGTTGGGACTGTGCGACTGTGGTGCGTGGGTTGACGACATGCAAAAAGCGCAGAGCGGTTGATCGCGGCAAAGTAATTATGGGTCTCGCCGGCACCTACGGGTTTCACCGAGGCCACCTTTATTTTTTGCGGCACGCAGTGCGAGCGGTCTTGAGTTCCGGACCATCTGGTGTTGGGGGAGATGGTGTGGGACAACATTGAGACCATCTGGGACCATTTTGTTGGAGAGGTGGAAGGAAGGTGCTGTTCTTTCAACGCGGCGTCGGCGACCAGTTTCTGTAAGGTGAAGGGGTTATACTGCACATGGCATCGATAATTGGAGAAGTGTTGGGGAGATGCTGCGTGGTTTTTGTGGCGACGAGAGTTTTTTTTTTGACGTACTGCGGGAGCGTTGCTGAATTTTTCAGCGGCAACTGTGATTTTTTGGCAGTGACGAGGAAGGGCTGCCGAATTTTTTCGGCAGCAGCAGTGATTGTTTTGGCAGTGGTGCGGAAGTGCTGCCTTCTTGGCATGGTGGCAGCAACATTTTTCGGTGGGATCATGCTGCCGAAGTTGGTGGCTGCTGCAACATTTTCATTGAGGTTATGTTGTCCGGTTGGCGGTACGTCGGCGACGCTATTGTGAGGAAAAATATTGCGGTTCTTTTACGTCGCAGTGGAGACAACTTTTTGTGTGTGATCTGGTGTTACATGCTCGGTTGAGCAAATGAACGAAGAGCCAGGGATCTGCAAAGTGATGAAAAGGACAAAAATGGATAATGCAGTGTGAACGAAACTCAACAAGCAATGTTCATCCTAATATATGCAAGACGGTAGTTTGAAACACAGCGAGAGACTGGGATCTAATTCCTAACTAGACTAGGAACGACATAACATCTCATGGTACAATATGCATGTAAGAAGAGGAGGGACACCAAACTGTTGGACGCCGTAAGCATGCTGAACAGAACAAGAACCGACCTTTGTCACACAGTATCACTGTATCAGATAGCGCAACGGAATGCTAGAATACCAATGCTCAACCAATCAATGTCGAAGTTCAAACTCAATGTTCCACATCATCGTTGTGAGGTGTGATAGGCCCGGCGCCATACACAGAAGTGCGCCAGGTCCCAACCATACACAGGCGAAGAGGGGGAGGAGCAGATGAAGAAGAAGAGGGGGGGATGGAAATGTAGTCCACACCAAGTCTTTGACACAAGTCCAAAATAAGCCCTCGTCGAATGTCTGAATCCAATGTCCAGTCTAAATCCAATGTCGTCAAGTCTTATAGTCACAATCTTTCCCGTAGGCTGCAGAAGTTGAGAAGCCAGGTAGCGAGAGGGTGAAGAAGAGATGGTGGACTTCGAAGAGGAAAAAGAAGAGCTCTCACTCTCTCTCTCTCAGTCTAGTACTAACCTGTGATGTTGGCGTTGTGATGCAGGTACCTCGAAGATGAAGCTGAAGCTATGGCGCCACAGGTACGTCTCCCTTGCCTCCGCCAGCCATCTCCAACTCCAACACTACTCTACTCCTACCTGCACCCAGCGCTGAAGATTACAACCTACCTACTAGCCCCCAACGCTGAAGACTACTGCTAATGCTGCCTCCTGCAGCGCTCTTGAAGACTACTCCTGAATCCTGAAGACTACAACTGACAACTGATAGCCTCCCCCTGCCTGTAGGGCGGGCCAGTCTTATATAGTGCTGGCCCGTCCAGGAGGTTGTTCTTGCCAATGCCCAAACGCGCTAGACCCTGAGGAAGCTTCCGGGAAGTTTCCAGGTAGCTTCTGGCTGAAGCCTGAGGAAAATTTCGGAAAGTTCCCAAGAAGCTTCTGGCTAAAGCCTGAGGGCATATAGGCCCTTGTTTTCAGGTTGTCAGGCTTAAACGCCACGGGGCCTGTAAGCCCTGGATTTCAGGCTTTCGGCCTGAAACAGACACAGGGCCTGTAAGCCCTGGATTCCAGGCTTTCGGCCTGAAATAGACACGGGGCCTGTAAGCCCTGAATTTCAGGCTTTCGGCCTGAAACAGACACGGGGCCTGTAAGCCCTGGATTTCAGGCTTTCGGACTGAAATTCAGGCTTTCGGCCTGAAGGACGCAGGGCCTGGAAAATGGCCTGCGTGTGCAGGCGCAGCATGCGACACCCCCCCCTCCTTATGAAGTCAAGCCGGGACGAGGGCGAAGCTGACGATCTGAAGGTGGAACCATGACGCGGGCGCGATGTGGAGCCGAAGAGACCGGCTTGCCTTGCATCTTACGTTCATAACGTGCGAGAATGTCCGGAGCTGTTGCTTGGAGATCTGCACGGGTCAACCAACGGTCAGCTCGGTGGCTGCAGTATGCAAAATGGACCAGATATTCGGTCGGACGGTTGCCGTAACGGCGCTGAGAGAGAATGTTGCTGACCTCTTGGAAACCATCCATAGAGGGTGGGTCTTGCGATCCTCGCCCAGGAAAATTGATATGGTCTGCTGGCGTGTAGAGAACTAGTTTGGAGGAATGGAAGACCGAGTTGACGGGCAAATGGGCGGGCACCTGAATGATGAAGAAAGGTCCTTCAGGTGCATCTCCAGTGGGTGCTGTGATCGGCCAGGGCCCCATTCATTTCGGAAGGAGCTTGCGAGAGATGTCTTGTTCAAGGCTGAACTCCGCTGCGGAAACCCAAACAAGGTCACCGACGAGGAATGGGCAAGGAAGACGCTGGCGATTGGCCTGTTGGCTCATGCGCTGCTGCGTCTTGGCCATCTGGTCGCGTGCCTTGACAAAAAGCTCTTCCATCCGTCGCAAGAAAAGAAGATGGTCGTCGCTCTCGGCCGCTCGTGGAATGATGGTATCCAACGGAGAAGTGACCGGCGAGTCGTGCTCGAACTCGAAGGGCGACATCCCAATAGCCGGGTGGATGGAGGAGTTGTAGGCCAACTCGACATCCGGCAGCCGCTCAACCCAATCCTTCTAGTCAGGACGGATGAGAGTGCGAAGGAGAACCTGTGCGGTCTGGTGCGCCCTCTCCGTCTATCCATCGGTCTGGGGGTGGCGAGCTGAACTGGGCTTGAGAGATGAGCCCCATCGTTTGATGAGCGCCAAGCAAAAATCGGACATGAACCGAGTGTCACGGTCGCAGACGATCTCCTTGGGGTAACCCTTGGTTCAAATCCAACCGGCGTACAAAACCTCGGCCAACTCCAGTGCCTTGGCATGATAGTGACAAGGCAAAAACATGGCAAACTTGGTGAGTCGATCGACCACCGTGAGAATCCCATCTACACCGGTCTTGTGCTTGGGGAACGGCCCTGTGATGTACATGGCAATCACTTCCCTTCGGCGCAAGGGGACCGGTAACAATCGCAACTCGCCGTACGGACGGTGATTGCGGGATTTGCAGCGTCTGCAAAGCTCGCATGACTCGCAATAGCGCGTGACGTCGCCGAGAAGGCCGGGCCACCAAAATCGCTCGCGAAGTCGGCCAATCGTGCGATTGACTCCAAAATGTCCGGTGGCGGGTGCATCGTGGAACTTGCCAAGAAGCGGTGTATGCAAGTGAGAGTCACTCGACACACGAAGAAGGTCCTTCCCGCGTGAGTGGACAAGCAAGTATCCCTTCTGGATCCGATAGTGCGAAGGCGCCGGATTAGGAGAGGAGCAATTCGCGTACTTGTCGCGAAATTCAGGGTCGGCTTGGTAGCCGCGAACGAAACTGTCCCGCAGGTCCTCATCAATCTCAAAAGTCGAGTAGACCGCGGTGCAATGATCCGGACGCCGTGAAAGAGCATCCGCAAAACGGTTTGGCTTCCCAGGGATGTGATCCGAAAAGAAGTCAAACTGGTCGATGAAAGCCATTCAACGAGCGATGGTGCTGTCTTGGGTCTTGTAGAAGACCAACGGATTTTTATCCGTCACCCATCGGAATTGACCTCGACCGAGGAGGAAGTGCCGCCACTGCTTGAGAGCATGAACGAAGGCGAGGAGTTCCTTCTTGCGTCCATCATCAATGGAATGCACGACGGGCACTTTCTTGCTGAAGTACTCGACTGGGTGCCAGTCCACTCCATCGTGCTGCTCAAGGATTGCACCAATGCCATAACCGGACGCATCAATAGTGAGGGGTGTAGGCAACAGCGGGTCGTAGATACGCAAGACCTCCGCAGAGAGCAACCCGGCCTTGATGGCCAGAAATGATTCCCGCGCATCCTCATCGAAGTCAAACGGCCGATCCTCGCATTGAAGCTTGGTCAAGTTAGCCGCGATCTTTGAGAAGCTCTTGATGAATCGCTGGTAGTAGCCGGCAAGATCGAGAAACGAACGGATATGCTTGACGTTCCGCGGCTCCGGCCACTCCTGGATGGCCTGAATCTTGTCCGAAAGCGGACTGATGCCCTCGGGTGTGACAAAATGGCCCAGGTTCTCAAGCTCTTGTCGGACGAATTCACACTTGTGCCGATTAGCTTTGTACTTGGCACGCCGGAGTGTCTCCAACACACGTCGGAGATTCCCAAGATGATCCTCCAAGGTCTGGCTGTAGACGAGAATGTCATCTAGGTAGACCAACACGAATCGGTCCGAAACTCGTTGGTCATCGCCGCCTGGAAGGTCGCCGGGGCGTTGGTGAGGCCAAAAGGCATGAGCACCTACTCAAAATGCCCATACCTCGTCTTGAATGCGGATTTGTAAAAGTCATTCGGGCGTATCGACAGTTGATGATACCCCGACTTCAAGTCCAACTTGGAAAAGTACTTGGCACTGCCCAGCCGCTCCAGAAGATCGTCGATGCGAGGAAGAGGCCCCGCATTCTTGACGGTTTGTGTGTTGAGCTTGCGGTAGTCGATACACAGACGTAGGTCCTTGTTCTTCTTTCGGACGAAGAGAACAGGTGCTCCATATGGGGAGCTGCTAGGGTGGGATCCAGCCCTTGGCCAACAAATCGTCGAGTTGTGCGTGGAGGACCTCAAGCTCCTCCTCGCTCATGCGATAGATGCAACCTTTCGGTGGCACGGCACCGGCCTCAAGAATGATCTCATGAGAGATCGGCCGATCCGGCACCACACCGATAGGTGTCTCGAAGATGTCGGCGAACTCATCCAGCAACCGCACCACACGGGGGTCCGAAGACAAGTCCGTGGGTGAAGTGTCGGCTACCGCGACGGTTCGTAGGAAGCATAGGCCGATTTCCTCGGGCTGCTCGTAAGCGCAAGTCGCCCGAAATGATTTGGCCGTCACCACTTGGCACCGGATCGAAGGGTGCGGAAGAGTAATAGTACACGGTACTACGGCGCCGAAAGCGTCGTGAAAAGTGAGAGTCCGCCGATGGAAGTTGACCGTGTGATCCGCACTTGCAAGCCAAGGCATTCCCAGAATAACGTCGAAGTCCGTGTCAAAAATACCAAATGTCACCGGCTCGCATGCATGAGGTTGCGAAGTACACCGGTACAGCTTCGATGTAACGGTCGAGAAGTTGCTGCGTCTTACCATCCGCCAACTTGATCGTCGTCGGGTTTGTCTTCCTCCGAACTTGTGCGCCAAGGCTAGCCCTTTGCATAAAGGATTGGCTCATGAAGTTGCGAGACGTGCCGCTATCCAACAAAGCGCTGCAGGACGCTTGTCCAACCTTGATGCAGACATACATCAGCGGTGCATTGTTGTCATCGTACCGCTGTGTGCGAAACTCGTGGGCCACCTTGGTAACGTACGCCAAGATGTCCCCCACCGCGACTTCGTCATCCGCCGTCGAAGTTGGTGGTGCATAGAAGGACAAGTATTTGTAAAGATGAGCGCAGAGTGCTGCGCACTGCGGTCCCGGCAAGCAGCCCGTGGTCGGGAGAGGAAGCCAGGCGAAATCCTCAGACGTGAGCGGGTCCAATACCTCTATGCTGAACTCGCGCGCCGAATCCCGTGAAGAACCACCTGAAGACGATGATGAAATGCCGCCGGACGGAGAAGAAGCCGCACATACGTCTTGTCCTTGAGCGAAGGTACCCAGCGTAGGAACGAGCCGGGCAGCATAGTCCTCGAAAGAATACAAGAGAGGAGGATTATTGACTTTCGTCTGTGCTTCGGAATGAAGGTCGGTTACTCGCGAAGAAACTGGTTCCGAAGACGTTAAGAGTGTCGTCGAATCACTCTTGGCGGTGCTCAGTTTCCCTGTCTGCCCTTGCCTTTCAATGGGCAGGCGACTGTCTCGTGGAGGTCGCTGTTGCACCAGAGGCAATAACGGTACTTCGTGCGTTGCTTGTATGCAAGCTCCGAGAGACCGTATTGGGACCATGGGGTGTGAGCTGCTGCGCCGGGCCTGGGGATAATAGTGGTGTTTGTCTTCCCTTTGCCGCGTCCTCGGCCTCTGCCGGCGCGACCACCATCCCGGGCGGCTGCGAGTCTGTCTCCTTCACTGGCAGACACGACCTCGCTGTAAGATTGGTCGGGTGGCATTGCTGCCACGACCACGGCCACTTTGGGCCGATGCTGGTCCCTGCTTGGGCCTGCCGCAGACGAACGACCAAGGTTCTTGGCCTCCTTGTTCGTGACAATGATCTGCGCGGCCTTGTCGAAAAGCTCTGCCGCTGTTGTCAATGTCTCGTCAACATGAGTCAATGCATTGCTTAACGTCGGGCATGATCTCGAGATGAAGTAATGATTGATGGCTTTGAAACCCATCTGCAGATTCGGGACGGATGTCAAGCGCTGGTACTCGGCTATCCAGTCGACACTCGGCAGCGTGCCCTGCTCGAAGGTGAGCAGCTTGTCCATGACCTTGATCTCTGGCGGCTCCACCTGGAACCGCTTGTGCCATGCTGCCTTGAGGTCTTCCCAACTGATCTTTGTATGCAGGTCTGCAGCGACCACGCCGTACTTGGACAACAGATTGTCCATCCATGCCTGGCATGCTCCCCCTGACCGGGAGTACAAGTAGGTGTGGTTCTTATGTTCGCTGACGTAATGAAGCTGCAGCGTCAGTTCGAATTTGCGGAACCACTGAACTGGGTCCGTCTTGGACGAGTCAAGGAAGATTGTCTGGCCGTCCCACTTTGGAGTTGACTCACGTTCTGAGGATGGGCGGCAGCAGTGCATATCCGCTACTCCAAATGCTGGGTGGCGGTGTGTTGTAGCTGCATGCCATCCTTGACTGTCCCCATGTCGATCTCCAAGGCATTGAGACGATCACACATGTTGGAGGTGCTAGCGGCGGGGGCGGCGACTGTCCGTTGCAGCTGCTGGAAGCGGCTGTTGAGGTCATCCAATGCCCGTTTGTGATTCTGAGCCAACGCATCGAGGCTATGGATGTCCTCCTGCTGTGCAACACACGTGGCCAGGAGGTCTGTAAGATGGGATAGGAGGAGATCGATCTTGCTTTCACTCTCCGCCATCTTCCCTGTCTCAGCCTCAGTCCGCCAATCCGCGGCCATTGCGAGCAAAGCTCGCTCTCCCTTGAAAATCTTCTCTCGCCGCTGTATTCTCTCTTCATCGGCAGCCTTAGCTGCTGCCTCGGCCTGCAGGCGCTGTTGTTCTACTGCCAACAGACGTGCCTGCTCGGCGTCCTCTGCCTTCTTCCTTGCTGCAGCAACGACCGCCTCCGAGTGTTGCTTAACCTCGGTCATCATGGCCAGCAACCAAACCTGATAGTCCTCATCCGTTTCCCTGGCTTCTGGTCCACGGCGGCTGTTTGCGAGCGCGTGAGCATGAACTAGACTGGAGAGCTGCTGATGTGGCACCCCTGTTGACGTGGCACCAACTTACCAATGCCGCAGTAGTGGTACCCGGATGAGGAAGAAGAAGGTAAGATCAGAGGTGGCAACAACATAGGTGGGGAGGGGTGGGTGGGATGAATTGCCCAGATAAGGAGCCACTAATCAAAAAACGAAAAGCTCTTAACTCAATTTTTATTTTTTTTTGGTAAGTTCAGTAGGTCTCCAATGCCCTCAAAGTACAAAAAAGAAATTACAGAATGATTTCGAGTTCCGACTGACAATGATTTTTCAGAGAGTAGAAAAGTAGTAGAACTGCGAGAAACAAATTTCCGAAAAAAATAATGGTAAGGAAAATATTCGGACTGTTTCAAATAAGAATAACGCAGTTTGGAAGAATGGCGGCTGCTAGCAAGATTTCCCGTACCGTTTTTTTTTCAACTTTTGTAAAAAAAAGGAGTTTCATAACAATTTTTTTTTTTGAATTTCCAAATAACGGAAAATAGGTAATCGAAATTTTCGAGAAAAAGATATTCCGGATTTTCAACCCCGAAATTTCGGATTTCAGAGCAAAACGAAAAAACGAAAGTTTCAGGTGTTGCGCTATAGCGATTTTCCACAGCAAAATAACGGAAAAATAAAATCCAAGAAAAAAAAAAAAATGATTTTCGGCAGTTTGGTAAAAATCACGATTTTGGGAGCTAGCTAGTATGTCCTAATCAACAAAAAGCTATCTAGTTATTTCCCTCACGTGTGTATGATCAGGCTGCCCTGATTCACATGCGCAACTCCGATACCAACTGTTACATACTCGGTTGAGCAAATGAACGAAGAGCCAGGGATCCGCAAAGTGATGAAAAAGACAGAAATGGACAATGCAGTGTGAACGAAACTCAACAAGCAATGTTCATCCTGATATATGCAAGACGGTAGTTTAAAACACAGCGAGAGACACGGATCTTAGTCCTAACTAGAGTAGGACCGACATGACATCTCATGGTACAACATGCATGTAAGAAGAGGAGGGACACCAAACTGTTGGACGCCGTAAGCATGCTGAACAGAACAAGAACCGACCTTTCTCACATAGTATCAGATAGCGCAGCGGAATGCTAGAATACCAATGCTCAACCAATCAATGTCGAAGTTCAGACTCAATGTAACACATCATTATTGTGAGGTGTGATAGGCCTGGCGCCATACACAAAAGTGCGCCAGGTCCCAACCATACACAGACGAAGAGTGGGAGGAGCAGACAAAGAAGAAGAGGGGGGGATGGAAATGCAGTCCACACCAAGTCTTTGACACAAGTCCAAAATAAGCCCTCGTCGAATGTCTGAATCCAATATCGAGTCAAAATTCAATGTCGTCAAGTCTCACAGTCACAATCTCTCCCGTAGGCTGCAGATGCTGAGAAGCCAGGTAGCGAGAGGGTGAAGAAGAGATGGTGGACTTAGAAGAGGAAAAAGAAGAACTCTCACTCTATCTCTCAGTCTAGTACTAACCTGTGATGTTGACGCTGTGATGCAGGTACCTCGAAGATGAAGCTGAAGCTATGGCGCCACAGGTAAGTCTCCCTTGCCTCCACCAGCCATCTCCAACTCCAACACTACTCTACTCCTACCTGCGCCCAGCGCTGAAGACTATGGCCTACCTACTAGCGCCCAGCGCTGAAGACTACTGCTAACGCTGCCTCCTGCAGCGCTCCTGAAGACTACTCCTGAATCCTGAAGACTACAATTGACAACTGATACCCTCCCTCTGCCTGTAGGGCGGGCCAGTCTTATATAGTGTTGGCCCATCCAGGAGGCTGCTCTTGCCAATGCCCAAACGTGCTAGACCCTGAGGAAGCTTCCGGGAAGTTTCCAGGTAGCTTCTGGCTGAAGCCTGAGGAAGCTTCCAGAAAGTTCCCAGGTAGCTTCTGGCTAAAGCCTGAGGGCCTATAGGCCCTTGTTTTCAGGCTGTCAGGCTGAAATGCCACGGGGCCTGTAAGCCCTGGATTTCAGGCTTTCGGCCTGAAACAGACACGGGGCCTGTAAGCCCTGGATTCCAGGCTTTCGGCCCGAAACAGACACGGGGCCTGTAAGCCCTGGATTTCAGGTTTTCGGCCCGAAACAGACACGGGGCCTGTAAGCCCCGGATTTCAGGCTTTCAACCTGAAACAGACCCGGGGCCTGTAAGCCCTGGATTTTAGGCTTTCAGCCTGAAGGACACAGGGCCTGGAAAATGGCCCGCGTGTGCAGGCGCAGCATGAAACATCTAGCGATGGTGTTGTGGGGCAGCCATGGTACCGGTTTTGATGGCGCAGCAAGCAGTGGTCCGCGTTATTTTTGTGGTGCGCGGCGGTTATGGTGGATTTCAATGTGGCCTAGAGGTTGGGCTAGCGCTTGTGCATGGTTGTGGTGCGTGGGTCGACCACATGCAGAAAGTGCAGAGCGGTTGCACGCAGCGAAGTAATTATGGGGCTTGTGACACCTGCGGGGTTCACCGGGGGCCACCTTTATTTTTTGCGGCGCGCAGTGCGAGCGGTCTTGAGTTCCGGACCATCGGGTATTGCGGGAGATGGTGTGGGACGACATTGAGACCATCTGGGACCATTTTGGGACTAGGTGGGACTGCTTGTTGTGATTGGGAGCAGCATGTTGGTGTGGCTATTGTGAGCAGACATAGTGATTGGAGGTGGCGTGGACTTGCGATTGATTGGGACTGTCCTTAGAGGATGCGGTACCGCTGGAACTGCAATCGGGGGTCCATTGAGACTTTTCGGGATGTTGAGGCGGCATGAGATTGGATCATGGGAGCGCCCTCTTTGAGGGTTATCTCATTTAGACATCTCGATGGGCCCAACTTTTGCTGACTTGGGCACTTGGTGGAGGACGCGGATCGTAACTCAGGAGAAAGGTCACAACTTGTGGAGTTGTGAGCCGCATATTTTCATATTCTACGGCGATCATTTTCTTTTGACTGTAATATTACTCGGCTTTCTTGAGTGAGCCAGATCTAAACTTCACTCAAGGTTAGTCAATGACTCAGATTTCTCTTCACACCTGTGCGAACCCACACTTTGCTTGACCCTGTTCAATCGAATGTTCATTGAAAAGGCAAATGTATGTTTGCATGTGAATGGTAAGGTCTAACTTGAGTATGTGATTGCATTGGTTTTCTCTTGAACTTGTTGTCTTTGCGTGTTGTGCAGGTAGGTAGAAGGATGTTTGCAAAGAAGTTTGATTACGCTTATTTGAGATGAAAAAAAAGATTGCCCCCTTTCTATCTTTCACCTGCCTGCATGACAAAAGTACTTGAATTTTGAAGTGAATAATTTCAATGGTGTCGTGAAGGAAAACTTGTGAATATAATGAAGAATAAAAATAAATGGACTTAGTCGTCTCCCAAGGAAAAACCCATTCTATCTCGAACGACCCTCTTATTTACGCCTGTCCGAATGAGTCTTTATCTCTCGCTCTTGACTTTTCTTTTCATCTAAGTTACCATTTCGCAAGAAGGGACGGGTGATCTGATTTCAGATGGAGTCCGAGGCTCCCTCTCTCTAGAAAACATCTGGGGCGGGGGTTCGTTGCTTTAAGAGCCGAACCTGTTATCGACCCAGAGTGGACCGTTCTACGGGGGGGTTACTTTGCCGATTCGGTGGAGACGGCCCGACTTCTGAGATCCGAGTCTTGTGCTCGGACGAGGAGGGGGAGTACCCCAGATCACTTCCTAGAGGGGGCGTGCAACACCTCAATCAATGCCCCTGATCAAGAATCAGCTTATTATCCAAAAGATTGGAAACGAATGAAGACCGGTATGTGCGTCGAATCTCAGGCCGGCAGTAGGTAGGAATGAAAGACTTTGGCAACGTGTCTCATCAAGTCAAGACTAAGGCAGCCGACTACCTTGTCGGCAGCATCTATATTATTGTCAATAGCCAGCTTCTTGTTTGGCGGTTGTATGATTGTTTTGTGATATTTGACCTGAGGCGGTCGGATTGTTTTTGACCTTGTGGTGTTGAATGTATCAAATGATGATTTGGATGCTCCTAGTTATTACTTTGGATTGGATGTACAATCTTATCGGTGGCAGTCACCTCTTTTTGTTGTAATTATGTATGGTTGTTATAAATTTTGTTTAACTGTGTGTCTAAGGGATTAGGATCGAGTTGGGTTTCACGCCTGGTTGAGACCGTCCTAGTCGACCAACGTCTGCTTCGTACCTAGGAGATCAGCGCCCTAAGAAACAGGCGACGTTCGGATTCGCTTGACGTTAACCAAACGTATCTATACTACAAGCGAACGAGCAAACACCCTCGGTTGATCTACCTTCGTGACTGCATTTAAAAACTTTCGCATATGGGTCAGTAGCTCGGTAGGGATACGCCCCTAAGGGTGGTGATAACCCCTTAGGGAAGGAAAGTTTATGCCCCGCAAGAACATATCCTATCGTAGGGGACCGCGGGATGTACAGGTGGCGCACCCGGTTAAAGCGGCGAAGGGACGACGCAACTGCGGCCGTCTCGGCAGCTCGCGGGCTTAGTTAGGCGTCGTTCCCGAGTTGTATCTTGTTTAGTTTTGTTTTGTTTATCTCCTGCGTGACATGGTCGGGAGGGTTCTCACCTTTGCGAAAAAGGTGGGAGCCGATGAATTCGATAGGTGACGTCATTGCCGGGGATAACGACAAACTACCGTTGTCCCTAGCGGAACGACACTTGGGTATTTTATTCTATAATGGATAAATTGATCGTATTCTGATTATTTTATCTTTATCGATTAATTTTATTATCATTTTTATCTCAATGAATGATGCCTTGATTTTATTTTGAAAATTATTTTGGTTACTTTTGAAAGTTCCAGTTAAGTTTAAATTCATAATATATTGATATTAATTGTTTGTGTCGTATTCTGTTATTGTTTTGATATTCGAATTATTGCGTTGAGAGTTACCGTCATATTTAATTGTATCGTTTATCAAGAACCT